CTGTCACTGGTGGCTGCTGCACTTTGTGATGGCAGTGCCTTGCTGCAGCGTGGAGCATGTCTCCTTGAACAGTAACTCACCTGTCAGGGGTTGAGAGAGTCACAAAGGCTGTTGCAGGCAACAGGTAGATGAGCACTCGTCGTCACTTGGCTCGTGAGAACACAGTGGACTGAGGACATCTTAATTTGAAGCTCATAAACTGCAATACATACAGGACCCTGCAGTCATTCCAGATTACAGTTGCAGGACATGGTGGCTAAAGATGGGTTTTCCTTGCTGTTTTCAGAAGAAAACTTCTTTTCTCCCTAAAAGTCCAGTAAGACTCTTGATAGTTTTTGTACATCTTTTTGCTGTTGAGTGGAACTGAGTGTTTTTCTTCCTTAGTCTCTGGGTTTTTTTTTTTGTTTGTTTTCCTTCCCCACAAATGGAAAATGGTGGTTTTCCATATTTGAATCAACTTCCAACAAGGATCTAATTAATGCCAACTGTACAAGTTAGTTTTGGGTCTGCAGCCAGACTGCAAAGCATGAGCCGCTAATTTTTTCCATATTTTCTAGGTTAAAATACCTTGGTTCAGCATACGAATCTGCACTTTGTTAAAGGCTAATGGACTATTTTTAGCATTTTTTTCATAAATCTCTTCATCTCTGTATGTGTTCACACATTCTTCGTTGACTTTTCCAGCAGCCAAGGCTCAGTGTTTAGAAACGTGGCTTGCCTTTGTGTATCGACAACTAACCTGTCTGCTCATTTTCCATTTCCTGACTATTTCAGCTATTCCACGCTGCTGGCCTCAGGAGTGCCGATGTAGTTCCTTTTGAGCTAAATGCATAGTTCAACTTTGCCCTCTTTCCATTGGTAAAAATCCTATAATCATTTTACATGAGCATGGCTTTGGAAAAAAAAAAAACAAAAAACTAGCGTGCTTTTTGAAAGGAAATGTAAGAGTGCAAATGCCATACAGCAAAAACTGAGGCCGAGGCCCTGGATGGCAGGCTCTCTGCTTCCTAGTTTCTAAACGTTACCTAGTTGCTCTGAGCAAGAGACACGGTCCCCGCAGAAATGTTTCTCCTGCGGTCAGCATTCAGTGTAAAGCAGGTCTTTATGGATTCCCACGTGTAGTCTGGCAATCTGGAAAAAAAAAAAAAAAAAAAAAAAAGAAAAGAATATTTGGGATTTTACTCACTTTACGTTCGTTTTAGATAATTTTAGAAGGTGGGAAGGGTGACTGGCTAACCCATTTCTTTTCCTTAAATACCTTTAGTTATTTTTTTCCAGTTCAAAAACTCACTTTTTTTTAGCTTACAAGCTCATGCTGTTCTTTCACTTGAGTTTAGAGCTGTTTTCTATTGCCCCCAGTTGGCTGAAACCTGACATGGGAAAAAAGGCCAAGCATAAGACACAGATTAAAAAGAAAACATTGAATCCTGAGTTTAATGAGGTAAGGATGGATCTAATTTATGTATTATTAAATCAACCTAACTATTATTAGATTATGTGAATGAAACTGAAGACAAGCTCGCCAAGGTTTGGTTCCTCTCTCAGGCTCCTTTTCACCTTCTGTATTCAGGAATATTTTAGAAACAAATGAGAAGGGTGTTAATGAAAGCCGTGAGGGCAGCCTAATTGAACCGTTCGCGTTTCTGGCCTTATCTCCCGCGTAAGAGGGAAATATTCACGCTCAACTGATCTCAGTAAATCAGTATCTGCCTCGACAGATCTCGGCAATTCATTATCACGTAGTACCGTTGCACACTGAAACCTCTCTGCTGACTGTGTTGCAAATTGTGTGTAACCCTAAATAATGTGGTGTGGTCTGAGCGAGCACCTGGAGGGGGTCCTGTGGCTTGGCCCGGAGGACACGACTCCCCTGCGCTGAAATCCCCACTCTCTCTCCGCTGCCCTGCCTTTCAGGTGTGCCATGTTCAAAGATCAAATTGGCTTCAGCAATCAACCCTGTGAGAAACTCTTGCCAGGCTCTTCTTGTGTCTTTCGGATGGGAAGTGCCATATTTAGAGGCTTTGTGATTTAGATGCTGCCTCGACAGAATACTTGCAAAACGCTGAGTTAGATATAAGGAGTGAAGTTGGCTTATGTGTTTGTGAAGTACACTGGGAGAAGAGGTACTACAAGAGAACAGCATTTACTCTTCATTAGTGTATTTGAAATATCCTCTCATTTGATTTTGAATTCAGGTGGTGCAGAGAGAATAGCTGCAGTTCCTTAAGGGCAGAATTGTCCTTCTGTCTTCCTTGAAAGCTGAAATCCTCGGGGTGACATGAATTTTCTCCTTTTCCAGGAGTTCTTCTATGATATAAAACACAGTGATCTGGCCAAGAAATCACTGGACATATCCGTCTGGGATTACGACATTGGAAAATCTAATGATTACATTGGTGAGTGAAAGTCTCTGTGCTCTGGGATGTGGTTTTGATGCCATACACAGTGCTAGTTGTATGGGAGGGATAAATTAGTCACCTGCTCTGTGAAGATCATCTCCAGGCTGAGCTTTGAAGTGGGACTCTGCAAGTTGGCTGGGAGCTTGTGTCCAGCCATCAAATAGACGATCCAGCGCAGGGGCCCACCGCAGGCCCCTTTCCCAGCATCCCGGAGGGTCTCTTGTGTGGGCAGAGCAGCTCTAGCTGCTGCCTTGAGATTTAAAATATGGGGGGGGAGGAGAGAGAAAAGTGCTGCAAACTTGGACCTGTCCCCATGGAGATGGTTTACTGAACATCAGCATCATCTCTGAATATAATAATCTCCTATCTCTTTCCTTTCTTCCAGGTGGATGTCAGCTTGGCATTACTGCTAAGGGCGAGCGCTTGAAACACTGGTACGAATGTTTGAAGAACAAGGACAAGAAGATTGAGCGCTGGCACACCCTCCAAAACGAGAACCATGTTGCCAGTGATTAAAGGGAGCCACTGCCCAAACCTCCCCAATCGGCACATCCTCTGCCGATTCCCTGTAGATTTCTGATGTCTTGTCTTCCAGTGCAGTCACGCCTTGTGCTACCCGCCTTTGATCCCAGGGCAGCAATGCTGTTCTGTCTCCTCTCCAAGCATCCTCTCTGTTCCCTGCTCTCACCTCCAAGTGAAACCTAACCCAGATCTTTTGTATTCACCTCCTTTTTTTATTTTGTCCCATTCTCCCCCCCGCCCCGAGTTATCCTGGTGTGTAATTTTGTCAAGCAGTAGTTACCCTTTGACAGTTTCATTTGTCTCTTCCTCAGTAGCCTCACGCAGGTCATAATAGCATTGCTGTTCTGTTGTGTGTGTGGCGGTATGTATTCTTCCGCTTTTCACTCATGTGGCTCACCCCATCCTCACCAGCTCATTGCTCCTTTAACTTCTAACTGGATGCACGGTCACTGGACCTACTGTGTTCTCATTGGAGCATGGGGGGTTGAGCGTTGGTGTCAGAGCATCAAACAGTCCTGTTTGTTTGATATCGATACCTCAGTTGCAATAATGAAAAAGCTGTTTAGCTTTGATGTGGGTTATGAACATAACTTGGTATCTGCGTTGTCATGATTAGGCTAAAGCCTGTGTCACAGATGTAATCCTGCGAGTACTGCTTTGGCTTTTTTTTTTTTTTTTGAATCTGGTACGTTTAAGCAATGTTGTGGTATGTGCCTCTGAGTTTCTGCTGAGAAGATCCACTGATAACGCAGCATTCAAATAGATAACTAGAAATAAGGAGCTACTCTGCATGCTCGCAGGGAAGCAAGAGATTTAAGTTGGTACACGTTTGTTTCCCGTTGCAGTTCATTTTAGTTCTAGGAACATGCCCACTCCACTAATATAGGAACACACCCATATTTAAAGCTTGTGACTACCTCCTCTTCACTTTGTAGCTGCGTAGTAGTGAATAGATGAACTTTGAGGGCAGTTTGTTAGGCCCTCATGAGACTATACCTTCTGTTACTCTCTGTGGTCCGTTTACCATAGCACTTGCAGGAGGGAAGCCGATGGAGAAGATACTTCCCACCAACCAGTTGATATGTTCAAGGATTATTGCTTTAAAATACTACAGATAATGAAATTAGCTGGTTAGAGGTCTTCCAACATTTTTTTTTTCTTTGCAAGTCTGCATAAGAACCATTGTCTTCAACCTGTGCTTTAATTATTGTCTGGAGGTGTTTTATTTGTTATCGATAAAAGGAGAGTCAAGAAGCTCTCAAACTGATATTGATCTTTTTGGGTACCTTTCTGATTCATCTGCTGTCTCTGGACGACCTCAAGCGTAGCAGTGTCAATATTAGCACAATAAGCGCTACTGGAATATGTTGTCGGTTAGCCACCAATTAGGCATGTTGTATGAAACCAAAACCCCACACCGCTGTGGTTCACGCTGCTGCCCCATGACTTCTCTTGCAGCTCGCTGCTCTCGTTGCTGCTGGTGTGGTATTGTGTGGTGTGCTCTGAGTTCAGCTGTGCCTCAGAGGAGGTTTTTTTGGGTTTATTTTCCTCTTCTCCATCTCTCTCCCCCAGCCCCTCTCCCTCCAGCAGAGTTCGCTCTGACTAGTTATTTGCAACGAGCATCTTTACAAGGCTGCGACTGCTGCAGCTAGAGGGGGCTTTCTGCCGCATGGGGGTTTGCAGTGAGCTCCCCCCTGCTGCGCTCCGCAGCGGGCTCTGCTCAGCACCCTTGGCCTAGCACCTCTCCGGCACCGATCGCTTCCTTTCCTCCTGCGTTTTCTTTTTTTTTTAAGAGCCCCGTGGCTGCGGGGGGCAGTCCCTGAACACGAAGGAGGTGCATCACTCGCCTGAAAAAGCCTTGGCCGGTAAATGTCACAAGGCTGCGGGCCCCGTGCATGGCGTCTTTGAGCCGCTGTTTGTGAAGTGCTCCTTGTCCTCTCGTGTAGCGCGATCCTTTCCTGCTTTTAGGACATAGGTGCATATCGTAACCGGGAGCATTCACGCCTTTGTTCCTTTAACTGCCTGCGGGATAAAATCTAGACGAGTATTCCTGTGCGCGCTCTCGCTTTCCCTCCCCGCCGTTAGTTAATGTAATGCTGCTTGCGTCGCTCTGACGAGCGCCCCGGAGGCTGGCTGCCGCCGGCCCCCTCTCTGCGCCGAGAGATGCGAACGCCCCGGAGCAGCAGGTCCCCAGCGCCCGCCACGGCGCGGGCCCTGCGCTCCGCGGCCGCCTGCGGACCCGAGGGCCTTCCCGCTCCGTCCCGGCTGCGCGTTGCCGGCGCGTCACCCGGCTCTCCACAAGGAGCCACCCTTGGACCGCGGATGCAGAATGGAAACCTAGACGTGCTCCCTGCATCCTTCCCGCTCAAGCTAGGGCAGCTCCTCTGTCACCCCCACCGCTCGTCCGTGCTGTAGCACCACCAGCTAGTTACCCCTTCAAGAAACAGGGGGTGGTTACATGAAGCAGCTCGGGATCTGATGCCCCTAAAAGCATAATGGGAAAAGATGCTTTTAAAAAGGCCTTATCTTCCTTTCGTGCGGTTCTCGACTCGGCACTAGTTAGTGCGATGTCCTGGAGGCCCAGGGCTGGTCTGTCCGTACAGTGGGCTGTGCAGAGGACCCGTATGAAGCTGGCCTGGTTCTTCTGGACCGTTTCCGACATGCGCCTGGTGCCACCTCGGGCTGGCGGTCCTGCTAGAGGATGCGGTCCTGCTAGAGGATGCTAGAGGTTGTAGGATACTGCCGTAACCCGTTCCAGCACGGTGAACCTGACCAAAACCTTTGCGCACTGCTTTTCTGTCTCTCCCTGGTGTTGTTTAGTCATGACACACATCCGAGCTGTGATGGGGAGATGTTTGACTGGCAATGAAATTACCTTTTAAAAAAAAAAAAATTTCTAAGCAATTTCTTCATTTGTTCCACACCCGCAGCAGCCAAGCCTCCTTTATGTGTGCAGAACAATTAAATTCAGCTTGCCGTTACCTAGGTAGCTTCTTCCCATGTCCTGTAGTGACATTCTCTGCTCAGTCTGCTTTCCTTTCAGCGAAGCTGTACTCAAGTCATCTCTTTGCACCCATACAAATTAAAAAGTGCCACTTGCCAGTCCCACCCTCTGTACTGTGTAAATCACAGTCCTTGTCTCCATTTGCCATCCTCTTCTGAGTTTTTCTGATGGTAATTTCTGCCCTGAACAACTTCCTTCCTTTGTAGATAAAGCATGCACATATGGATTGGGAGTGGTGCAAAAAAAAAAAAAAGCCTCTTCTACTGCTGTTTGCATTCAAACTTGCATGCAGTGATTTTACAGCAAAATACCAGTTTACAAATATTAAGAGAAAAAGGAAAAATGTTACACAAACTAGAAGTACTCCAGTCTTCCGCTGCATGCAGCACAACATCCTCTCTCTTTATGTGATATCTAATAAAGTGAGACTATTGTAAAAGAAAAGAAGTTTCTTGGCTTCTTTATTCCTCAAGGGAGCACAAGCGCCGGCATGCGCGGACACAGGCAGGCCGGCTTCCTTGCCATGGAAATTCAGTGTGTTGGAGAGTGTGCAAAAGTTATGTTGGGTTAAAGGAGCTGAGGCGGCGTTTGGCAGGGCAAGTTGCGTTTGCCTCCTCTGCAGGGCGAGGAGGTCAGTGCGTTTCAGAGGTTGGGTTTGGGTTTTTTTTTCCCCCTTTTTCCCTGGTGAATAACGTGGTTTTTGTGAATAATCTGGGTTAAAATCCTAGGTGCTCTGTGGGAATCGATCCTCCACGCACAGGTGAGAAAGCAAGGGGCTCACGCGGCTCCTGGAGAAAAATGCCCTCTCGGGGTCTCATTTGCCGGCGCGGCATCGCAGTCCCTTGACGGCACGTGTCCCCGTGGGCACGCATTGGCTCCTCGGCTGCTCTTGGGGGGCTCGAGGAGGGTTTTTCTGTCCTGGAAGAGGCAGAGCAGCCTGCAGGGTGGGGATGCATCCGGAAAGGCAACGTCGTCGGCAGGGCTTGCTGATGCCCCAGGGCCGTCCTGCCCTTCCTCGGCAGCCAGGGCGCCGCGGCCCCCGCTGAGGCTGCTGCGCTGCCTGAGCAATTGTTCTCGCTGCTATTGTTGGGTGGTAGTTTGGGGCATGATTTCCAGCTGCCCGTCAGGTGCAGGCACCAAGGAAGGGCACGGCGTTGTGCTCAGCACCCGGCTCGCGCCCCGGGGCAGCAGTGGGGATGCAGCAGGGCAGCCTTGTGTCTCCGGTCCCCTCTGGGTTTCTGGGGGACGGGGACACCCCACAGAGGATGGCTGTGCACTGGCGCCAACGCCCGGAGACAGCAACGGATGTCACTGACACGGCAGGTATGGAGGGGGCTGGAAGGACACCCGCCACCTGGGGCTGTGTCCCCCCTGGCTGCTCCACAGGTTTAATGTGCCTGCTTGTGCTCTCCATGAGGTCAGGCCAGCGATGGCTCTCCAGGAGGGGTTTACAGGCAGTTAAATCTCCCTAAGCATTTGCACTGAGGAGGCACCATCACGCTGTGATGGTGCATTGCAGTAATTCCCAATAAGAATTGCACAGAAGAGGACTTTCACCTTGCAAAACTGCAGGCTTCCTGGCCACCCCAGGAAGCATCTGTGGCCCTCTCCTTCATGCAGCCTTCCTCTCAAGGAAGGTGACTGCCTCTCATGGTACCACGGGGCAAGATAACGGAAGCACAGAAATGCTAGGAGCCTCCACGGCTCTGAACGGAGGCCAGGGGCACCTTCCCCCCAGACGCACTGGCAGTCAGGTGGACTGACCTTGACACAAAAGGGTCAAATGTGTCCCTGGCAAGTTAGCTACCTATTTGTCGAAGTTAGGTCTTGATGTCTAAGAGCCAGCCGCAATGATTGGTAAAGAAAATCTCAAGGGTATTTAAAATTGTCTTGTGATGCTGACTGTATGTACTGGGTCTGCTTATGTTTGCCTGCTGGATGAGCATCCTAAATTCTCCCACCAGCCAGGAGAAGGCCTCCTGTTCTGATGCACCCTGGTAGGGGGTGCGACCAAAGGTTAATTATGCACGGCAGCAGCTTGAGCTATCCAAGGAGGTCTCCCCTTTGGAGGAGGGCTCGAGGTAATCGGGAAGAACGATGTTTGTGAGCTGCAGGATGTGTTATCGTTTATTTAAAGGAAAAGGAGAGAGACAGCTTGGGAGGACAACGATCACGAAGCTTCCCAGTTATGTCACGCTACCCACTGGATGCTAAAAGGCTGGGGCAAAGAAAATGGGTCATTTCCAGAGATGGCAAAGCTGTAAGCGTGCTTGCTGGCGGTAACTGCCAGTGGTGGTATTTTAGGTGCAGTGGATGGAAGAAAGAGCAAGGCGCTGTCTCGGTAATTACTGAGGGAGCTAAAGAACAGCGGGACCAATTGAATTCTCCTTTTTCTGTTGATAAAGCTTGTTCTCTTCCAAACCTTTAGTAGCAGGAAATAGTTGGGTCTTTGTCCTCTGAAAAATAGCAGCCTTGAAGTTGAGTTTTAACTTCCTTTTTTTTTTTTTATTTTTTCAGCATGAGAGCTTCGCATTGATTTTTCTTTTCTGCTGTTGCTTGGCATTTGCACTCCAAGTGGTCAGACGAGAGCTCCCAGCCAAGAGGCCACCCAGCTCCTGCAACAGGGCTTCCACCTTGGCTGAGCGCTCAAGTAAGAACTCCCTGTATCCCATGTGATTAAGATGCCGCTTTGTTTAATTGCGGGAGAGGCAGCACCAGCTGTGGTTGACTGTGAAGTCCTGAATGGAAAGTGCTTCAAAAGAGAGAAAGAAGCATTTTGAGAGAACCCATGGGGACAAAAGAAGGTCCTTTGTTCCACTGATTGATATTTCTGCTCCTATTTTCTGCTCAGCCTCTCTGAAAAGGAAGCCCTTGGATTGCAAATTACGCTTGATCAGGACCATTATTTGCATGTTCTGCTTTTGTAGGTAGTTTTACCGTTTTAATTACATCTCAGAACATCTGAATTGTTCTGCGGTTCCAATGAGTTTCCTTTCGTGCTAATTAGATTTAGACCTTCGGTGCAATCAATAGATTCTCATCTCCGTACTGGCCAAGCCAGTCATGACCAGTAATTTATAGCTCTAGTTGTTCAGAAATCAATACAGGTTTGCTCTTCATTGAGAGGGCTGTAAAACACGAGTGACAGCAGGCACGCTAAGCAGTTGACATGGAAGCAGATCCCTCGCTGGCCTTGGAGAATGGCCAGTACAGTTAGACAGGAACCACTACAGAAACAGCGAGGCGAGTAAAGCAGACCTCTCCAGTTGAACAAGTGCTGGGCTGAAGACATTGACAAAGCGTTCAGCTCTTGCCCCATTCCTGGAGCAGGAGATGAGTAATACAGCTTATGGCCAACTGAGAGCCTGCAACACTCAAGGAAGCAGGCGCAGCAGGTTTGCTGAAGCAAGTGCTTTTCCAAGAGGAGACAGCACATGCTGACTTGCACTGCAAACCGTGACCTTCTCTGGAATGGAAGCAGCAGAGACAAGGCTGGTGCCTTGCCTGCAGGGGACAGCTTTCCTATCAGCTGTTTCCTCTTCAGAATGCATTTTGCCCCAAAAGGTCACAGCAGGACCCAATGACCCAACCCATGCCATTGTCTTCTACTACCCTCTTCTAACATCTCTCCTTAAAATTTATAAAAAGAACATGTTTATTGTAACGGAGCTCGCATCTCCAGCCCTGCATCTCAGAGAGCCCTTTTCGTGTCTCAGCATTGTTTTCTCAGGGACTGAAGAGCAGCGAGTGATGAAGAAGCGGTGAGAGATGTGTAAGGATGAGGGACGCCCACACAGTGGAGCCTTGCATCCCACAAGTTCTCCTGGAAAGTGCTTGGAGCAATTTGCAGAGTAAGGTCCCGAGGATCTCCGCAAGTCTTGTTCCAGTGCAATTCCTAGTCACTTCAGTTCAGCTTTCTTCAGTTCTAGCACACTGCAGCTGCACTCCTCCGAGAGAAAATACAGTGCCAGCATTGCTACAGATTGCTTATCATCTGGGACTGCCCGTGTCCTTGGCTGGAGGTAAACAATGCCACTGTGTTGAGCTGCAAAGGAAGGGAGAGCCAGCCAGAGGTGAGACCCTCGTGCTGCTCCATGAGCTCCCTGTGTTGGTTAGGAGGCCAGCACAAGAGAAGCAGTCTCAGCGACTCAGGACGAAATAAATCCAGGCCTCTGCAGTCAGTGAGAGGCTATTCTAATAGCTGATTCCTATTCTGCTTTTTCTCAGTTCCTGATATTTCTCAGACCAGACCTGTGATTTATGCTTTTGTCAAAACAAAAGGAAAGACCCAAGCACCTGGCTAGGGCCTCACTGCAGTGGCTGAAGACAGCGGGGGCGGCCCTGGGCCTCAGGTGTTTTAAGGAGATGAGGAGGAAGTTCACACATCTATATGGTGGACGGAGATAGGCCTGAGATCCTCTTGCCACGTCCCCAACCTGGTCAGGGCTGAGTTGCACCATTCATCTGCCCTAGCAAGGCGCTGTGCCTGAGCTATGAGCTCCGCTGTAGCTCTATCCAGTGTTTTGGGTGGCATCCCCAAGGGATGCCCAGTGCAGTGGGGTGGGTTGAGCAGGGCTGGGAGGGGTAAAAGGACCACACAGAATAATGCAGGCAGAGTGCCTTCTTGCTGGCTGGATGGCACCTGCCTTCCCTTGCATTTCCTGGCAGAAGCTGAGTTGAGCTACCATCGGCCGGTTGGTTGCAAGGGAAAACGTAGCCGTCTGCACAGAAGTAGCCGAAACAGCCCTTCCCGGCCATCCTAGCAGGAGCTGTTGGGATGCCCAGACCAGTGAAAACTTTAGGGGCTTTTTTTGGCCTGTCTTCCGGGCAGACACACGTCCATGTGGAGTGTAGCAGCACCAGCCCCAGGGCCCGTAGGGAGTGTGCTGGCTCAGAAGGCAAGTCACAGCCATGCTCCCGTGCACACTGTGCTGGACTGGGCAGGAGAAAAACCTTCTACGGCTTTGGGTCTTCTTCAAGAAAAGAAAATAAATAAAAGCAAAGCTTTACTATTTAACATTTCATTTAAAAAGTAGAAAAGCTCAAATAAATAAATCTCTCTTCTATCCGCTTTCAGGCTTGGCTTTTCAAAAAGCCTGCAGCTAGAAATCTCTTTATCTCACAGGGCACAGATAACGATGTAATTATGAGCTCAGATCAATGGTTTTCATGCAGTTGGTGCCCAGTCTAAAAATAAACTATTATTCTTTCACTTGGATGCAAAGAGCTGGGGCTAGCATCTCTGCTGAGCTG